CTCTCTTGTTGTCTCCGCAACTGCCCTATTCGGCGGCCAAATCTATGGAATTGGTCCCCCCCCCCCCCGCCCCCCCCCCCCCAATCGCATCAACTCCATACCACAAAACTGCTGACAGTGCAACAATCCCACGGCCTCCCCTCCTGCCAGGCTGTCTCCACCACCTCCTTGCACCCCTCATCCAATAACCATGCATTTTCAAACCTGAACCTCCTCGGCCCTCTTACTCTGCGCATGGTGATAGCATCTACATTGAGAAACAAAGCCGAGTGATCCGATTCCCTAGTCTGCAGATTCTCCACCCAAGCATTCTCATTCATACCACCTCACTCTTCTGTAATAAACACCTTATCTAGCCTCTCCTATATCCAATTCGGCGTGCCTTTACTCTTATCCCATGTGAACTGGCGGCCCCGCATCGGCATCTGCATCAACCCGCACTCATCAACGGTTTCCCCAAACCCTCGTAAGAGGCTATTTGGGTATGGATTTCCCCCCCTTTTTTTCATGTTGATAGAGAAGATTATTAAAATCCCCTATCACCACCCAGGGTAACCCAGATCTATTCCTCAACATACCCATCAGTTTCCAGGTTTCCTCTCTCCTACTCCGATCCGGACATCCATATAAACATGTCATACGCCATAATTTGTCAGTCATACTAACCTCGATATCAATATGGTTCGGCGAGTAACTCAACAATCTAGCTGTGTTATTTTCCTTCCAAAGGAGTGCCATACCCCACTTAAACCTTCATTATTCACATAAAACAATCCATCGTATCCAAGCCTGACACGGACTCTCTCTGCATGACTCCGTTCCACCTTGGTTTCCATAAAAAACACAAACTCTGGCTTCTTACAAGCAGGGGCGGAGCCAGAAATTGTTGGTGCGGGGGGCCAATCATAATTTGAGTGAGAATAACGATGAACTGAGAATAATTAACTTGATAACTTTAGAAAAAATTCATTAATTTTAGAAAAGTGAATCTGGAAAATTAAAAAAAAAAAAGAATAAGAAATATGTATAATCCATATTTTTGGCATATACATATTTCAAGAAGAAAAAATTTTGAGCATGTTAGACAATATGTGATTATGTATGTTCAAGAAGAAGAAATCATATTTTTGGCCAGGGCTAGTTGTGAACTTGCGAATCAAATAAGATTTTGAAAGCTTATTTTAAAAGTTTTTGTTTGGAGAGTGCAGATACTTTGGTGAAGCAATCGTTATGCTCTGGAACCGTGTTCTATGTTCATAATTAAGAAACTATATGTTTATAATTATAAAGCTATATATTCATAATTTTTCAACTTCATTTTCATAATTATTGAACTCTATATTCACAATTACAGAACTCTATGTTCATAATTACTGAACAATATGTTCATAATTATATAGCTATATATTCATAGTTTTTGAACTTCATATTTACAATTATTAAATCTCTATATTCATAATTACAAAACTATATGTTCATAATTATGTTCACAACTCTATGTTAATAATTATAGAACTATATATTCATAATTTTTAAACTATATATTCATAATTATGAACAGTTTTTAAAAAGTGTCCACCTTGCAAGGTGGACACGATTCCACAAAACATAATTTGCCTTGGTAAAGGGGGCCAAAAAAATAATAATATACTATTAAATATTTTTTTGGGGAAGGGGGGGCCAAGGGCCCAAGACACCCAATTACAGTTTTCCTCTAAATCCTTCACTCATATTAGTATTAATTAAAAAATAATAATTTGGGGGGAGGGGGGCTAAGGCCCCCTGCACTAACAATGTCCCTCCGCCCCTGCTTACAGGACACCATGTCCACTACTTCTCGAACTGTGTGTGGATTGCCCAAGCCACGACAGTTCCAGCTTAATGTACTCATGATGACGGGCGGGACTGGACACCAGCTCCCGCCATAGGCAAGTTTGTTGAACCATCAGTCACTGTTACCTCATCATTCCCACCATCCTCCCCGTTTTCCGTACCATGCCTACGACGCTTTGCCGTAGCCACCACCACCTCATCCTCAGACATACTCGTGGGCGTCACTCCCTCACCCCTCCGACCCCCGTCTACTGCCTCAATCATCTGTGGTTTTACCGCCAATGGACGTGGTTTCCCGCCTACCAGCACGAGCCAGTTATCCCCAACCGCTCTAGGAGCGCTCCGAGATCCACCAGCCCGCATATTCGGACCGTACAGGTACCTTTCAACCAGTTTAATTGGTTTAGGACTTTACTAAAAATTGGTTGAAAAATATGGTTACTAAAAATCAGAGGTTACCTAAAGTTCTAAACCAATTAAATTGGTTGAAACCGGAAAAATAACAAAAGAAAAATATGAAGAGACAAAAATGTCCTTACTAAAAATAGAAAAAATCATAAGGACTAAAAGTGTCCAAGAAATAATAATCTGGGGTGTAAAATAGCAAAAACGATAGTCTGGGACTAAATTTGAAATTGCCACCAAAGACAAGGGACCTCCGGTGGAATTAACTCTTTTGTCATTCCCATGGTGTTTAATATTGATGTAAAGGAAGCTAAAATATGCCCACTGGTCACTGGAATACATCCAAGAAGAAAATGGAAGGTGATGGAAGGTCACAAGTCATTTCTCAATGGACTATACAGAACAACAGAATTATTAAAATTGTAGTCTAATATGCAGGTTATGATATCTAAATTCTAAAAAATCAACAGAGTCGGAGTCGGGCTTGGCTTCCAGCGAGGTAGTCTAGCGGAGGCGGAGGCGGGCTTGACAAACTCCCAGAATTTGGACTGTATTTTTCTAAATCACATAACAGTAATGGCGTCCAGAGTCTTGTAATGGCGTCAAACATAACAGTAATGGCGTCCATTTGGTTCCTTGAAATAAGATTCTACGGCCTTGTCTTGTACGTTCGAATTCAAACTTGTTTGGACACAAACTTGCGGTCAGTTATGAACCGCTCTCATTTTCGTCTTCAACCGAGAAAACTCGGAGGACTGGATATGTGCCGCTTCGTGTTGCCGGTTCGAAACAGAGTTCCGCGTCCAGCTCCTTCGATGTTGTGATAATCGGTGCCGGAATCATCGGTTTGTCCATCGCTTTAGAAAAATCCAGTCCAAATTCTGGGAGTTTGTCGACAAAGCAGTCATGGAAAAAGAGGCAGAGGTGGCGGCGACGATGGTGGGGGAAATGACGAGAACAAATCCAGGTACCTAGCTGCAATTCCGGCCAACATGTGAAGGAAGGGGAAGAAGAAAATGACCGTTTTGCCCCCATGAGTAAATAATTTAAACAGATTTATGTTTTTCCGGCGACATTTGACCGTTGATTTGGTAGGGAGGACCAAATATGTTAAAAATCGTATAGTTACAGGACTAAATTGTTAGTTTTTAAAGTCGAGTACTGAAATTAACACGCCAACTATAGTCACAGGATCAAAAGTGTAAGTTTCTCTAATTAAATATATTCAGTTATTATTTTTATGTATCAGAGTTTATTAGTTATTGATAACTAATAACTTATTTTAATTACAAATCAGTTATAAGTTTTGTTTGATAAAATTATAGAGTTTAAAATAATAGCTTATTTTCCATATTTTAAAAGTTTTAATAAGCGTTTCAAAATAAGCTATCATTATTAATATTTCTCGACAAATTATATCGTACACCAGGGCGCACAATGCATTGTGCGCCCTGACTCAAAACGACGTTGTTTTGTACCCTTTTTTAAAAAAAAAAAAAAAAATCCGTTTCCCGTGTCTATTGTCAAATTCTTTAAAAAAAAAAATCTCATGTTTCAAATGTATATAATTGTATAATAGAATGTACATAATTGTATATTAGAATACACAGTCTTTTTTGAAAGGATAATACACATAATCTAACATAATAAAATCCTTTGTTTCGAATGTACATAATTGTATAACAGAATACACATAAACTCTGTCACATCAACTCCCCACACAACTTAACAAAATAACATCGTTTTGAGTGCATGATATAACGATTGGTATTTCTCTATTTAAATATCTAATAAGCTAGCGTTTAAAATATCTATTTAAATAAGATTAAAACAAATAGATAATATGAAATAATATATTAAAACATTTCATCATAACATATTTTAAAATACTCAAATTAAATCCAAACATTGATGTTTTATTATGAGATGCTAAATCATAAATGTGAAATATATATAATTTTAGACTTTAAATTACAATATATATCAATATTTAATTTATTTTTTTTTTTTTTGAAAGCTATTGGACTTGTTGAAGCACAAAGAGTCAACACCGCCTCCACTGAAGCTCGACCTCATGACCTCCGATATGCAAGAGTCACTACATGTCATTTGAGCACAAAGTGTTTGGCATCAATATTTAAATTTAATTATAAATTTAGAAAAATTGTCATTTTATGTTTTTTTCTTATACGTATCATCTTATTCAACAAATAATTTTACGAAACACTTCAATCAGTTAGTGTATTAACTACTAGTTTTTCAACTTTTAGTTAACTTATAAGCTAGATGTGCCAAATATAGCCGGTACAGATCTCTTTGAATTTAGGTGTGAATAAATTTTAATCAAAAATTGAGTTTAAACTAATTAATCTATGTAACGAAACATTTTGATTTACTACAATTATTTTAATCTTTATTTTTCAAATTTCCTCTTTTTCCGATTAATAAATACACACTTCCTATCACCACATATCTTCCCATTTGTATTCAATATATATAATGTAAATATCATCATCATCGGTTCAATAAAAACAAAAACATAGCATTGGAATATTTAATTTATATGTAATTTCGTATTTTTAACGGCTAGATTTATACCATAATTACAGAAATCAGCATCTGATCAATACTTTACAAGTAACATTAGTATAGCAAAGTCCAAAACTTTAATCAAAATTGAACAGAAACATTGAAATAAACAAACCCGTCTGAGATATATGGAAGAAACATATGAAAGGAACAATATATAGAAAAAAAAAATCTGAGATTTTGCCATAAAAGGGCACAAAACCTGGACAACTGAGCAAGTGTATCAATAATTAATCAGTAACAAACACTATATTATAGCCTATGGTCCAATCCAAATTAAAGCAAAAAAAAAAAAATACTGTACATTGTCTCTTCTGCATAAACTCTCACCAAATGAAAATATGAGTCCCTGGCCAGCAAAGCTCTGACTTCCAGGTTCACATAAAATTGATTGTTGACTATTGTACTGTTACTCCAACACCGCAACTTCCTGATCAACTCTCCAGTAATTTGCGTCGTTGAACTCTTTCATAGATGCGGCACTTTCGTCTGTATTCTCGTTTTCTGGCAACTTGGGTAAGCTGCTCCTTTTTAATGGTGCTGCTTCTCCAACAATACCCTCCTTGAGGGCATGTTCCATTGCCTTCTCGGTACCTTCTAATTCCACGCCTACAAATTCAACATCCTCCTCAAACAAAGAAGGGACTGCAGCTTTCTGACTGGAACCAGACACACATGAAGTCGTCTTATTAGAATCAGGAGAAGTTGAGGCATCATTTGGAGGAGATTCTCCACTGGATGTGGAATTAGGAGATGGCGGTGATGTGGTGGTTGCCTCCACTGAACTGACTATTTCACCATCAGAGTTGGTTTGATCAAGAAACGGATTTAAACTGGATCCACCGGCTTGGAGATCTGTGGAATCCCCCCATGCTACCCATTCAGGTATTGGCCTGTCTCCAAAAGGGTCATCATTCTCTGATGTCTCAAAACGGAAGAAATCCATATCACCAGATGCACCTGCTTTCCCATCTTGGGCATTTAAGCCTACACCATTGACGGTGTTGATTCCAGTAAATCCATTGAAAATGTGGTTGACATTAGAACTGGTTTTGCCATCAGTAAAACCTTTGCTTTCAGGCAATTCATCCTCCGCTCCGACTACCACCTCATCATCACTATTACTGCTACCACCATTGGGTGCTCCATTCAGGTTGATCTCCTCCATCAAATCAGAAGCTGAGGTGCTCATAGGAGCACCACCAATTCTATCATCTTGGAAAGCAAACCAGTTTGAATTTGTGAACAAACTGCTGCAGAAAGGATTAACATGTCATACACAACTTCTGTAGAAAGAAGCTACCCAGAACAACTTCTGGTATGAAAAAATATGCTACTGCATTCAACCAAAAACTCACCTCCCCTGGTCATCTCCCAGCCTTAAGGATGATACAACAACTTCAGCAGATTCATCATCAAAGTAAACATCCTGCATATTCATGAATGAATGGAACAATTAACATTACAGAACCAGTAAGAAAAGTAGGACAATGAGAACAGATAACAAATAAAATCACATGAATGTGAAGGTGTCTCCAAATATTTTCTCAGTGTAGGGGAAAACAAAAATGAGTGATCTAATACACTGAAAACTTTACCTCATCATCCCGGTCAAGAGCTCCATGACCCTGTAAATGAGTAATAAATATATCACGCAATTCAAGTCTTTGTTGGAACCTAACCAGTGCTATTATATAGCACTGTAGCAGGGTTTTCCGAAGCTGAAGGGGAAGAAAGATTGGGCTTAAAATGGCCCACTTTCCATTTTGGAAAATTCTACAAAAGGAAAAACTATAGAATAAAAATAGGAAAAATAGCTCCGTACTAAACAGGCTCAAATTTCTTTTTTGCTGCATGAACAGGGTGTTTTAAAAAATTATACGTTAGGACTTAGGATATGGGGTTGGCCCCTAACAACCACTGGTCCAAAAAAAAAAAATCCAAATAGGATGGGTCAAAAGTAAATAAATAATTTTTTGGGGGGATACTGGATACTGGATAGTGTCTAATGACAAAACATTTCAGGTTAAACCCATTACCTCCTCAGCATCATCATTATCATATATGGTGTATCTGAATGCCTGGCTCAAATTATTAGCTAAAGCAGCTACATCATAATCTCTGTCGTGAACATCTTCCTCATCACTGTCTCTTGTCCGGTCCTGCAAGGCAGTAGGACGGCTGCAAAGAGCGAAATGATAAGGAACAAATTTTACCAGAATGCGAAGTACAACACAATTCTTTGAAAAGAAAACATAATTCCTTAATCAGCAAAAAACTAGTCACTTGGATCTCTAATAAAATAGCTTTTATTCAAACCCAATCTTTTTCTTCTGTAAGTATAATAAATTTCAACAATTTAACATCATTAAAAAGCTTTCTACTCATAAAACATAATTTGGAAAAAGAGAAACATACCCACATGCCCATCGATAGACATTCTCAGTCTTATTACGATCTTGTAATACTGTAGCATGCCACTCACTCCATTCACTAACCTTCTGGAGAAACCAAAAGGCATTGCACAAGTGAGCTAGTGAGCAGTTATAAACTTATACAGTATGAAACAAAATGTCATTCAACAGAACACTATTAGAATTGTGTCATAGATTCAGCCACAAGCAGTAAATATATAAATAAGCCAAAAGCAGGTAATGGCATTGCATGAAAACAAAATTTAACCAAACATAGATAAAATTTGCTTCTAAAAAGATCACATAGTAGGCATCCAAAGATGACCAGAAAACTAAAAAAAGCCAAGCATTCACATAGAAAGGCAAAAGTAATAAGTTTGGATCTCCATCATTAGAGTGTAGTAGTAAATAGTCACATGTAAAATAAATGTAACCTACAACCCCACTTTAAATTCAATTTCTTTCTTAAGTCAGAATTTACAAGCTAAGAAACACATAAGACTTCACTAAAGGTTTAGCAACTCCAAAAACTAAATCCAAGGTATTCCAAACACAGCTATTTGCATAAATGCATAGAAATACAAGAAAAAAGCATTTTATGAAACATCACACCTCAAGATGTGCCCGGACCCGACTATCATTGTTTCCCAGCTGAACAAGTTTATTACATATGCGTGTTATGTGCCCTATGTTTCCCATCCGAGGTGCTTTTTTTCCAGCAGCAGGAGTAGTTGCCTGGATAAAATAAAATATAACTGTCAGAGGAAAGTAATCTCATACAACTAGACAACATGACTTCACACATTGAAAGAGTTTGCAAATTCATGTTCTTTACTGAGAACTGTACCAGAAGAGGATAAAAGCACAAAGGGGCAAGCACTTCAGGTGTATTTACCTGATTAACATCACTGGAAAGAGTTGGTTGTTTATCTGTCTGAAGCATTTTTCCAACCAAATTACACTCTTGGAAAAGATGGTCAATAATGACAGAATTTTTGCTTTCCAGGCATGTGTAGATTATACTCTCAACATAATGATGCAAAGCATTATTATATGGGTACCTGTATCAGTTAAATTAACATATCAATAATATATAAAATCTATAGCAACCGACTTTCTAAGTACGAAATTATATTACTTTATCCCATGTTTTCAGATTCAGGACCATATAAGCATAAACTTCTTACTCAAAAAAGAGATCCAGGATTCTCAGAATTGTCCCTGAACTGATCAGTTCTGTCTCTGCTACTTCGTTGGCAGTTTTCAGTAGAACCGAAATGAATTCCACGGTCTAAAAGAAGCAGAAGACCAGGATTAGGATTAAAAAATGAATAGATAACAGAATAACTAATTACAATAGCATTCGAAGTAAAACAAATGGTAAATGTTACATATTATTTGCCTAAGATATTCACATTTTTAAATTGTCTTTACAAGGAAAGAAATTCACCCTAACACAGAAAGAAAACAAACCCACAACACAAATATTTAAAAGGCATAACTCATACCCATTTTATTTATTTTAAAAAACTTTAGACATGATTCAAGCTATAAGCAGAAATAATAATAATAATAATAATAATAATAATAATAATAATAATAATAATAATAATAATAATAATAATAATAATAAAATAAATACTCCAGCTCAAATTAGTTTGAGATGTTGAACAAGACATAGAGAGCAAGTGGCAAGCTTTGTTTATAACTTTCAATAAACACTAACCTTTAAGCGATGCTTCCCAAGAGGAGGTCTCAATTCACCATATGTTGTAGGCAGAATCTTCTCATCAGATGACACATTTAACAGCATCAGCAAGTCACCTTTGTCATAATATTTGTAATCATAGTGATTGTGTTACAGTCAGGAACAGAAAGGATGGGGCTTTCACAAGAAAGCGCAAATAATACATAGTATGATACAGAATGTTAATATTCATTATCTTCTATTCTTCCATTATACTTGGATATGCAAAGGTTCCTGCTGAAGTACTTGGCATATTCATGCCCAAAAGCAATTTAAAGCAACTAAGAAAACCACAAAAAACTCCTAACCGACCAGAATATCCTTACATAGCATCAAAATAATCTGAAACTGCAAGAATGCATCCTGGTGATTACTTGTATTAGAATGATGTAAAACTCAAATATAATAAATGTTATAGTAAAAAATATCTAATTTAAGATTATATAACAAATATTGCATAAGCAACACATGTATGTCTATACCCCGATAAAGCTTTAACTTTTCATATACATACATTTTTTTTATAAGTACTCCATATATACATATATACATACATTTTTTAAATTTTTTTTATAAGTACTCCATATATACATAGATAGATGTATATAGGGAGCGTGGGAGAGGCAAGTTTCAATTTTACATTTGTGACTTGAGGATGGAAATTCACAACTATGACACTCAAATTTTTGCATAAAAAGAACTTTGTATATTGTAATTTCATACTTACCAAGCTTAGGCAGCATTGCACCAATAGTGTCAGAATCCACATGCATAGGAGCCTCATACATGTGCTGGCTACGGAAGGCATACATCATGGATGATGGAATTGATCTTTTTGGGTCCAACAATGAAATACAGACAGACAATGAATGGACAAGGGAAGATTTTGAATGCGCATCTTCAAGTGCATGACCAAATATTCTTGCAACAAAACTGAAAAGGAGATTTTCAGACTATGAATTTTACTTTCAGTAGAAAATACACAAAGGGGAAATCTTGAGAAAGTCTGAAAACCTTGAGCTAGATAACTTAGTAGCAAGAGGAGATGGTGAATTTCTGGTGATTGTGCACAGTGTTTCTGCAGCATTAGCGTGTACTTCAGGAGAACACTGAAAAATATCAAAAAGAAAATGCAGTATTAGATTTGTCTGAGATAATATGTCAATCATCATCAAGAAAGTAAGCACTTCATGTGAATTGCATCAAGAATCTTCCAATAGAAGAGAACTTAGCATTAAGCTGATGGTCTAAGATGACCAAAAAGGTGTACCACTATCTAAAAGACACCATGTAATTTCAACTTAGAACGCAGGTTAAAAGGAACATCTTGACAATAACCAGTAACTACAAAACATGCATTAACAACAAAAGTATTGTGAATGAGTACAAAGATTATGAGGGACCATTCCAGATGACAGATTCAACTGCACCATGCACCAGCACAAAGTAACTACAGGTCAACCAACTCTTGGAATTTGACACTTTTCCATCCAACCTCAATTATTCACAATACTTCTTGACAGTTATTGACGAAACAATATATGCTACTCCAGAGCAATAGGGCACTACTTTGCTTTAAAGCAAATGTGCATATCAAAGCATTACTTTTTTCACACAAAGTGGCAAAAATTCAAATGCATAAATTAAATCACTCAACAAGCAATAAATCAATTACTCCATCTCTCCCATATGACTTGCCTTATTTATTATTCATTGGTCAAACCAACTCTTTCTTTGCTTATTTTCTTTGGTATTTTTAATTTCTTAGCTTTTGGTGTTTAATAGTATTTTTAATGTAGTTTCTAAATATATAAATTTTATATATTAATACTAAACTTAACATTATGAAAAATTAAATTGTAAATAAATTTAGTCAAGCCTCGTTAACCGAACCAAACACATAAGATGGGACAGAGGAAGTAATATACTTACTAAGAATCATTCTTAATCATCCATAATCCTTAACTCGTTTATTAAGAATTTATCTTAATTATCTGTAATCTGAACTCTGTATTTGCAATCTATAATTTACAAACATTGATCAATGAATTGAGACAAGTTACCACTTAATAAAGATATATATTATATATTAATTAAATATATATAATTGGATCAAGAAAATTTGTGTATTGTTGGAGATTTCTAGATTAACTGAATGATTATATATAACTATTAAGCATATAAGTCCCTTGAGAATTGAGATATGAGAAGGTTTGGATTGTTTTATTGTTGGAGAGTTCTAGAAGTTTATTACTTCCCAAAGATTAATTCTCTCTGGTGACTTATAGAGTTCTTCTCAAAACTCTCTGGGACTCTGCCAAGTGATATTCAACACTCCCCTTCCCCCTGGGACCCAGTGAAAAATAGAAACAAATGATGAAACAACATGACATACCTGATAAACAGAAGAAAAGATGGTCTATGGGTTATGGGTCTTTGATGAGGAGGCAGAAATCAGTAAGTCTTTGAATCATAAGATATTTTTAAACCCAAATTTTATGTTCACTGTGCTTCGGAGAGAAGCAAGAGAATCCCCTCACTTTGTGCATCACTCAAGGGAGAGAAAACCACTCTCTTTCTGCAGTTTCCTAAAATCATCGCTTTGACATACTAGATTGATGAGGCATCATTCTGGTTGCTTTTAGTGACGAAGCACTCTCTTTTAACAAGTCTGATTGTGATTAAAAGAATATATGTCTCTGTATTAGATGGATTAGATTACAAATTTTCAAATTCAACCTGCTATTAGAAAGTGACCCACCAAACCATGTCTAAAAATGTGTGATTCAGGCAAGTTACCAAAAAGGGTCTAAAAATTTCTGGCTTTATACATTATCTACCAATCAACCAGGCAAAAGAACCGCATAGAGTTCAGAACAACAATATGTGCACTTACAGAAGGGCTTAGTTTATCCACAATCATTTCTAATAAATTGCTATCAGCCAACCATTGCAAGACATCTGTAGAGTTGGGATAGCTATGATCATCAGCACCTACAAGACGCACCAAAACCTGTAAAGAAGATCTTATTAGCACAAAGGACCATGCTTTCAAACAGGGCACTTAAATTCAACTAATATTCAATATCTATCTTAAAATAGAATCATCACACTCAGCTGCTAAATATCAAGCCCATACCAACCTCCATGATGGAAGTAATACCAATCAAATCAACCATGTGCGCAAAAACATCATGATGGGCCTGCAACACAGTGAAAAGAGTAGGAATCAGTTATCAGAGAGGTCAAGGCATGTACAAAGCACTAATGGACCTAATGATCAAACACCTATAGCACAACTTAAATCAATTTTCAGAAATGAGGAATTTAAAGTGTAATCAAATTGTGGCTTCATTAAAATTACTAGTGATTCTATCAAAGTCAACAATAACCAATTCAAAGAAAATTAAAAACTAGTAAATAAAACACAAAAACATGAAAGTACCGGATAAATGAATCATTAATATTGGAACAGCTCCATATTTGAAATGCAGAGTACACAAGACACACAAGAAATTCAGTTTACCGTCAAGAAAATTGCAATGCTTTAGGCGTGCCCAGCATTAGTACCCACCTTTACATAATTCATAAGCGGAATAGTCTTCCGCAGCATTAGACATATCACAACCTGAAAGGCAGCAGAGACTACTTAAAGCAACTTGCTTTAACCAATAACAGATTTACAAACAAATACTGGCATAAATAAATCAATTTATACCTTGCTAAAATATCCAGCCAGCAATGCACTATGAGGATGGCTTGATTCCAGAAAGGAAAAGAGTAAATTCATTAACTGCAAAAATTCCATTAATTAATGGTTGAGATATCAGATTAATATAATTCCAAGTACAACATTCAAGTGCTACAATAGAACCATGTTGGTAGTGCACCTCTTCCTCCTCAACCAGAGTTTTAAGGATAACATCAATTTCACACGTGAATATCTCACAGGCAATGAATGGAAACCTAAAATGTAAAACAAAAAACCCTCATTAGAAATGAAATTCAGGATGTACAAACAAAATTTCCTTATCCTTCTTTAAATATAATAAAAACACAGCATTAAGTTTTTTTCTTGAAACATACTTGAATGTCCGTTTGCTATCCGCATGGTCAAGAGGTTCATCAACAATATAGTGCAGCAGCTGTTCGACCTGGGTACTCTCTCTCAAACTGGAAAACACAAAAGTAAATAAGTAAATAAATAGTGTCTCTAGAAAGTCCAAGATTAGGCAAAATAAATAAATCAATCAACTTCTCATGGAACATATCTTAAAACTTGCTTACAAATTTATGAGGCGACCATTCAAAGCTTTGCATTCTTGGATTATCTCCTCTTCATCAAGAAGCTCTTCCAATGTGAAATTTTCCTTGTCCAATATGGCTTCGATCTAGGGATCCAGAAACCAAAATATATATAACAATGGAACAAATTTAGGAACAAAAGCAATGGCAGAAGAAGACTACAATTCTTATGCTAGCAAACATGGGGCTATTATTAAACTCTATAACTTAAAAGCAAAGACTAGCTAATACAAAATGAATATAGTAAACAAAGGAAAGTGGAGAAAAGCAAATCAAATTTCAATAAGGCTCCATTGGTTCTGGGACTTAAAAGTCAACATTTCAACATGCTTTAGTAATGCCCGGGATAGGGTAAATTTAAATAATAGAAATGAAAGTGGATATGCATAAGTTGTAACTGCAGCTCAAAATCATCAAAAACTGTCTGGTGCAGCAAATGCGACGCTATGAAGTGCTTAGGCTAACCGCTAACTCCAGTCTCAATGTAACATAACTACAAGTATACTCTGCCAGCTCAAATACCTCCAATTCAATTCAATAAGATACATTCTTAGCTATAAAAGGGATTCCTAACATCAATTGCTCCGAATATAACACCCTCACATACAAACAAAGAAATACAACTTCAAATACAGAAATTCTCTCCTTGACTCCTCCCAATTGCATTGAATTACGAGGATTGCAGCATTGCAGACGCAGAGACGGATCCACTCACTTACCGGCGAAGAAGCCGAGAGAGGTGGGAGCTTCCAAAACATATCTCCTGCCTAGGGATACAAGGCAACGTGACACGTATATCCCGCGAGAGGGCAAGCAGAAACCAAAATCCTAATATAAGAACAGATCTGTAAACCCTAAAACTGAATCTCGGGTATGAGAGCTCAAGATTCGAGATGGAGATGCGTATGCATATAGGAGACAGCAAAAAACCCTAAAGTATGGATAAGAAGAAGATCAACAGAAAGGAAAGCCGTAAAGATCGAAGCTTTAGAGAGAGAGAATCCGGGGAGGGAGAGAGTTTTCATAAAATGGCAGCGGAGGAACAGAGGGCCTTGTTTGTTGATGGGGAAAATGAAGTGAAGGGCGCAAAAGTACAAAATTGGTGTTCGTAATTTACAAACCCAAAATTCAAATCTAAATCTAATCTAATGTCTAATATCTAATATTATTATTATTATTTATTATTATTATAAATTATTATTATAATAATAATAATCCTTTATATAATAAAGCTATATGGTTTGGGAAATAATTAATGCTACAATTAATGTCCCAACATCTTTTATTATAAAAAAAAAAAAGCACAACATTTAAAAAATAAAATAGCTATATATTATATAATCATATAAAAAATATACTTTTGAAAAATAAAATAGCTATATATTATATAATCATATAAAAAATGTGTTCAATTAGAGTTTAAATTTACACATACAAAATTTGAAATTTGCTTTCCAAATGTAATTATCTTAGTTATTATTCGTATTGTGAAAATTATAATATAGATGAAATACAATTAAGAATAAATCAATGTAATTATGTAAATTCTCTCTATAAGTTTATTTGAATATGCACATAATTAGAGATTATATTAACCATACAAAATTATAATTTTAATTTTAATTGTAATTTTGTATTCTATAAAAATAATAAATACTTGACCAATGGAAGCTCAAAAATATTATTATATTAAATAATTTAAAATATTTTAATTTTTCTATTTTTTATTTATATTTATAATAACATAATTTTTTCCCGTGCATCGCGCGGGTGAATTACTAGTAATAATAATAATAATAATAATAATAATAATAATAATAATAATAATAATAATAATAATAATCTACAATCTATAAATATACAAATACAAATACAAATATACAAATATACAATACAAATACAAATACAATACAATATACAAATCCAAACCTAATAAGAGCGAATAATGTTAGGCCCTTAACTGGAACAAAAAAAATGTCGGTACTAATTGTTTCTTAAAATGAATGGTTTATATTATTTTGATTTTAGTATCTTTTAATGATTTTCCTTATTTACCCTCTATTATATTATTTTCTTCCCTTAAATAACCCTAAATTCTGTTAGTTTAAACTTTAGTAACGGAATATTCCGTTAACTATTTATTATTCTTAACATACTCTTAATTTATATAAGGTCTTAGGTTCGAACCTCATCCCAAGTATAATTGACATAATTGTTAAACATATATTCCGTTTATTATTCTTAACATACTCTTAATTTATATAAGGTCTTAGGTTCGAACCTCATCCAAAGTATAATTGACATAATTGTTAAACATATATTATGAATATGTTAAAATGTATTAAAAAAATATATAATATAAAATTTAACATAAACTTTGGTCAAATAATTAGCTCGACTAAATACATAGCATTCAAAGTTGAGCATCAAATATTATAAATCAGGAACTACTTTAAAATTATTTGATTTTCTTGAATTTTTTTATTAAAAAAAACAAATTTATGTTAAGTTTTTTTTTTTTAATTAATCTTCTTCTGATTATTTAGAACAAAACTTAATATTTCAATTATGCTTTTGCATTATTGGAATGATTTAGGTCATTATGGTATTAATATTTTTTTGTATTTTTTTATAATGGTACAATTGTACATTACATTACTAATATTATACTATTATTTTTTTATCGGACAATGTTCTTACATCATTGTCAGACCTGCGCGGCCTAACTACAAAGTTGTTGATCATAAATACAATTACACATGGACTCTAAAACGGTAGGATCATTTTTCAAATAATTGACAATGTTAACATCCTACTAGCTCCAATTGAACAAGTTTACACATCAAAATTTTATCAATGCATGAAAACTTCTAAAAAAATTTGTAAGTTAATTTTTACTATATCATTATATTAATATCTATTGTAACCATATATTTTGAATTATTTATTATCATCCTCTATTAACAGCAATTGTAGCAATTGTTATGGACAAACTCACAAAACAATTTGTCTCAACAAGGAATTGAAATTAAAAAAAATCATTGATTTCATTATTGTTGAAGAAAAGTATGTACGACACTTTATTACTCTTATTAATTAAATAAATTAGTAGCTACAACAAAAAAGAATACATATGCATTTAATTAATTTAGAATTAGATGTCTATAATGCTTTATTTAAAAAAAAATTATTCATTATAAAAAAATTTAAAAGAAATATAATTTCATTAGTTATATTATCTTTATTTTCTACAATTCAAAGATTCATTACCTTCAAATGTATTAATTTATTATATTCACTACATTGTTCATTGTCTTCTTTTTTACATTATCTTGTAATTAAATATCAAAGTTATAATTTTTTTTTGAATGTTACTGGCCCTATTACATTGTAGTATCTGTTCATATACTTTCTCAACCTACTGAAACACAAAGAACCAATAACGCCTCCAAAGTTATAATACAAAACATGTTTTATATATATATATATATATATATATATATATATATATATATATATACCAACTATTTTATACCAATATAATAAATATTAATATTTCGTTCAATACTTTCACATGATAACCTGCGACACACATCTCACAACACATGAAACATGTAGGAAAAAAACTACCACTACTAAATATCATAGGTGTTTGTACGCTAAAGAGTTCATATTACAACTAAAATCTCAATCATATACACAGCAAGGTAAATCTAAAACTTCCTACATCATAATCTCATTGCATGATGAATCCCTCTATGTTGCTACCAGTAACCTAATTGCACATGAAACACTACCAATAAAAAAACAAAAAAAAAAAAAAACAAAAAAAAGAGGACATGTACTGAAGATGAAAACAATAACAATGCTACCCAAAAAAAGAATTAAGAAGAATTAAAGAAATTTAAATCAAAAGTAATATTTATTTAGACTATTGCTTTAAAACTAAATATTTAGACTAGCGTTATTACAAAGTTGCAAACATTTATTTTAGTGACAATTATAATCAATCTCTCATATATTATCTTGCATTTATATACTTTAAATTACCGATTTAAATAAACAAATTCAACATTTATTTACATATGCATGAAAATCTCCTATATAATATTGCATTGATATACTTTGGAATACTTATTTAAAAATAATTATTGGGGATTATTTCATTCGCACAAAGTGCGTAAAAAAACTAGTCTATAAATACGCATAAAGGCACAATGATTTTTGCCCATAACATTTTCAGGCGGTTTTTCTTGCACTCTGTGCTTTCCCTGTGGTACTCGAGAAAATCTATCGCGGTTTTGCCCTTACCGATGTATTTGCTTTGACTCATTTACCCTTATCGATGCATCGGCGGTTAATAGGGCCGACACATTTGGTTCGTTTTCAGGGGGACGCTGGCCCGTAAATGACATCCGCTTTCGTCACCCACGTTGTGCCCATTTCTTTTCCACCATACCGATTAGATGATTTCGGCCAACAATAATATTTATTTATGTTTTGCGTCCTTTTACCGCTGTTGGTCAGTTTGCATCATACTGACCTTATCTGCCTCTGTACTTTTTGCAAACAATTATTGTTTTTTTTTTTTTTTAATTTTGCTTATTACATTTGATTTGGGCTTTTTTGAGTCCTTCTATCGGCGTTACTCAGCTTCCACCATACTCATCTTCTGATTTCCGTACTTACTTCCCGTGAAATCCCGTGAATTCGGGGGATGGCCGTATCTGTACGTGAACATTCCCAGTTCTTTACGTTTGTTTATCCATCGTTTGCTTATCGTGGGGAGTGGTTGATGACTTTTTTTTTTTATATATATTTCTTTATGGTAAATATATATATATATAGTAACACCCCCCAAACAAGACCTATATAAAAGCCTTAACACATGCAGATTAAACAACAAAACTAGCACAGCGAAAGATAAAACGAAACTGGATAAAAGAAATCCGAACGGGTGTCACGCCACGTCTACCAAACACGGTAAACGCTACGGCAAACAATCTGCAAGTGTATACATCTATCCCAAAAACATCAGTCTAAAACTACTTGGGCACACAGGCCACAAAACAAGGATGAGGGTACTAAGCTACCAGGCACTAGACATCGCGCTCGTCTAAACATCACCTGAAAGATACAAAGATAAACATTGGGACGACGCCCGGTCAGTGATAAATGCTGGTAACCCACCAATACATGTGAAATATCATACATAAATAGATATAAGGTGTAAAACCATTTTCGAAACGGAATACATATATATAAGTCAAAAGCCAAGATCAACATTCAACACAGGACTCATCACTCTCAAAGATAACACGGGAACACATCCCAAACCACAAAGGTTAACCACACGCAAAGGATAAAGACTCACCCAACGGCAACACATGCCAAAGCAACACATGCCTCCGTGACTACACACGTCACGAGAGAAGAACACACAACGCCGGCTTTACAAGCCCTCGCAACATCACCCATCACGAGTTGGTATGCCTTCCTTATGCCCTGTTCCAACCTTATGGCTACCCCCAACCTTATATCTTCTTCCAACCATTACCTCCAGGACCCCTGTACTTCTTAGTCCAACCTTATTCCCCGGGACCGTCGTCCCCCACCAACGACCACCAACGAGACCACCAATTCATAGTACACAAGGTACCGTACACGGCGAAACACATGCCTGGATAACACATGTTATCCCCCAATCACGTGAACCTTACACAAAGGCCACAACTCCATAATCACGTCACGGCCACCACGAGGACCCCTGCAATACCTTGGTAACTAGCGTCCCATACCACTAATCGTGCAATCCAGGTAAAGCCACACACGCACCACAACTCAACAAGAGTCAAACAACGGATCACAACGAAGGTATGAAACATACTCAATCAAGGAACGGGTCACAACCCAACAACAACAACGATGAATAACACAAGTTATCATCAACCAAACGGAAGGTACAAACCACACACACGCTAGCATTAAGACAATAAACTAGCATGCTTAACAATGGAGAAACTCAAGATAGTTCCGAGGAACACACAAGACACCTCTTGGTCCAACGAAACACAATGTTGAAC